TTTTTAAATCTTTTTTAATCGTAGTTTTATGATTTTAATTTTTTCTATCATATTATAACCGTTTATTTTCAGATTTCATATTTTAGATCATACAAGATTTAAATCGATTATAAAAATAAGTCTTTATTATAAGGGATAAAAATAAAAAAAAAAAAAAAAAAAACGATAATTTTTAAAAAAAAAAAAAAAAAATAAAAAAAAAATCACAAAATAACATTTAGAGATGATCGAAGAAATAAAAACCACAAAATAGCGAACAAAAATTATCGAAGAAATAAAAATGACAAAATAATGATTACGATTACGATCCCCGATTTGAATTTGTACTTAGTCACATTCTTTTAAAAATGTTTTTTATATTCCTATTCTTATTAATTTGACCAATACTAAGCTCTTGTAGGTTCCAGCCAAATAATTTTTATACCAAAGGTTAACGAAGGTTTGTAATGCCTTTTTTCTTTCTTCACGGATAGGTCTTCTGACCTGAGAAAAGTACTATCCCAAGTTTTGATGCCAGAAAATATTGGCATATCTCCAAAACCTTAAAACATCTCCCAAAATAATAAGATCGTTGAGCACAAACAATGACACTTCAGATCAGGTTTCAAAATTAATGGGAACATAAAGAAATATCGCAAAAATTAACCAAAAAACGCTGAAACAAGCCACCGGCAATTTATTTTACCTACCCAAAGTTTCCATCACCTTTTTCATGGTGCTGTCCCTCTAAACCAAAAAACAAAAAACGCAAAATCACACCCATTAAATACGACTACTTAACGCTCCAGAGCGAGATAAGACAACAGAAGAACCAATTAATTTCACAATTACTTCAGACCAACATAAAAGCTCAAATGAAGACGAAGTAAATACAAAGAGAAAATCGCGCCTTTCAACAAAGGAAATCGTCAAAATTGAACAAAAGCGCAATGCAACGGAAATGGACAGGAAAAGTAAAGGAAGTCTGATGGGCCAAACACCCGACCAGCCGGCAGACCGAAGCCACAATGGAAGACGGAAGGAAGACGGAACAGAGAAAACGGCAGGCGATAAGACAAGTGAAAACCAAAAGTGGGGAAAAGTGAGAATGAAGTCTGGATGAATGAAAACAGCAGCAAACGACGAGCTCGTCGAAAGCAAAAGCGGAAATATTTGACTACACGAAACTAAATCAATTTGCTGCTTAGGTTAGTAAAGTTTACTTGTACATATATAAAAAAAAAAATAGAGTCAATGCGCTTTAGCGTTTTTATTATTATTATTTTTTCAAAAGTACAACGGACCAACGATGGAATCTTGCTTGGACACAAAAACGAACATAAATTACCAACATGCACGCGATATGCCAGAATGTATGAACATTAAAAGCAATTTTTGTCTAGGAGAACAGGACTGCTGACCAGACAGGCATTTTTGTGCAGGTGTTCACGCAGCTGTACTACCTACATAGGACACACGCTGGAGGGCGAGGCTGGAGTTCAACCATGAAGGCGTGCTTGCTTTTAGAGCCGTCATAAATGCAGACACCCACACCATACACGGCTCATTTTTACTGAGACACTATTAAATGCCCAGTTTATTACACTTAATTTCACTCGTCGCTTGCAAACGGCGGCACCAGAGCACCGCAATGAATGGCCTAACTGCGCAAATAGTAGTAACTACTTAGTTTGGCCGATGGCGAAGAGGAGATGCGTGGCAAGAAGGTCGCCAAAGATAGACTAAAATGTTGATTTTTTGTGCTTTTATTTTCAACTTATTTGCAGTGTGACCACGAACTCTCTATATACACTGTTTTGAAGCTTTAAAAAAAAAAACTATGCAAAGAATTAGATGCGGTCGTTATGTGGGCGCGCAGCTACGAAAAACCATAGAAGCAGGCAGTGCATGGTGGTACAAGCAAATGTGATAGGCTGGTCAACGTTAGAAATATTTTGCAAATGAACTGGCAGGGCTGACACAAACGCGGGTCAGGTAGGTAGGCAAAAAAAAAAAAAAACGAAAACAAATTTGAAGGCACGAAATATGTATTATGTGTCAGCCATTTTGTTGGGTAGACATGAATTTGCATACAAAGAAAAGAATGAAGGATCGGGAGTAAGAAGAGAGAGTATGCTGAAAAATTTACCATTTAAGCATCAGATGCTAGAGGGGGAAAATATGCACACCAAAGCATGTCAAAGGATGCATGTATGTACTTTTGAATGAATTTCCGTCATGCCTTATCAAATTTGGTTTGAGGACAGACTGGTCGTCCCATCTTCATTTTTATGCAAAATTTTACAAGAAATTCAACTTTAATTCACTTTTTGACAAAGCAATGACGCAGTTGAGAATTCCAATGTTAATTCATAATAGAAGTTATTGATTGCACACAGTTCGTGTGCATTTCTTAGCTTCTCACCCCTTATTAAATTTTACCGCAATTCGTTACTTCTTTCCTAGCATTACAAGACTATAATACGAGTAGCTAGCTTGTGAATAGTTTGGAATCTAAAACACGCCTGTCAGACCCAATTTGAAGCCAGAGGTGTTCTGCTTCCTACGTCAGAAAATCACTTGCGCTTATAAAATGAAAAATAAAAGCAGTTATGAGAAAAACACAAAGAAGGCACAAGATACCAAACGCGAACGCAGAGACACGAACTTAGAAAACTTCCGCTTACCGTCAGAAATTGACTGACAACTAAATTACTGTCGATTACGTCGTTGACTGACAGCTAGACTAGCAAGCATGCAAAAAACCAAATAAGAAAAAGTACTCGCTCCTTAATTGCGAAAAATGGCAGAAAAGGAAGAATAAATGCATGCAATTGGAAGACAACACACACATTTTATAAAGAATAGTAGCTGCAGATAACAACCCTCTACAGTTGTCATAGCTTTAAGAGCTTTCATTAAATTAACTTTGAAAACTTTTGTCCCCATCGTTCAAGCAATTGTTTATTTTATTTACGACAAAGGAGCTTTTATGTAATTCAATGTCTTTTCATAAAAGAAGTTAACAATAAAAACAATATTCCTTTCCATGCAGTTAAAATACATTTTAAATATGAACCAAATCGTACTATAAGCTCGGGGTTTTCAAATATCCCGACTCCTGCGCCACCTAGCGGATTGAGTCATCTTTCGTAATGCATTGCCATCGGGTTCCGAGCCAACTGTGAAGTTTCAAGTCTCTAGGCTATCTAGGCTAGGCCAACTGTCGAAAATTTATTGCAAGATTTAAAATTTGCTCCTAGCAAACATACTTACATACGGAGCAAGTTAAGTAAAAGCTTGTATTAAGGAGCTTTTCCTGAGCAACTCATAAAAGCTTAAAATTCTAATCAAGGAATTTTCTTCCATGTAAAGCTATGAAGGATTCAAAATTTTTGATGGAATAATCAACTAAGCTTTCAGAGCTTTTATTACACGTATGTATTAACCGAACAGTTTTTTGAAAACTTTTGTATCAAATATAAACGTAAGTTTTGGGGATTGTTGCATAGGAAAACAGCACTTTCTAGGCATAGATCTTTTCATAAGAAAGCTTTTGATCTATATCAAAGTTTAAATAAGACATAGCACGATCTTGTTTAAACACTTCAGTGGAAAGGTATAAACACACAAAGATTCAGCGAACTGTTTTTGTTTTTCAAATGAAAAATTGACGACAGCTCTACGGTTAACTAAGCTTTCAGAGCTTTCATCATACCACTCAAAAAGCTACCTTAAAAATTTTATATAGTTTGTAATTAAAAAAAAAAAAGTTCGGCTCTTTTTACGATAACAGAGCTTTTATAGAAAAATATTTTCATAAGAATGCTTTTGATCAATACTAAATTTGGTCGTACAAACATCTTAGACCAATTGGAGAAAACTAATTTTAGAGCTTTCAGTAAACTTTCAGTTCATCAACCCCGACTTTTTATATTACTTTTCAGTGGTGTTAAAAAGGCGAAGCTTTAACAGCAGACTATTTCATAAAGGAGCTTTTGTACGTTGATTTTGAGCTTTGGGTTTTTGCCTTGAAGTTGATTACCGACTGCATTTCCTCAAAAGTATGTCGAAGTATCAGCTTTCGGAAGCATGAGTTCATCAGAATATGTTTGGTAGGAGTATACTACTGAATAAATATTCAAATAAGGCAAATCTCTCCCACACACATCAAAAATGTTAAGTTTTCTGCTTTAAGCTGCGAATGCAAATTTTTGGAATATCCTCATGTTAATGGTAAGGACAGATGCATTTAGCTTTGACTTGACTTAACTTTCGAATTCTCGCCCCAATTATAAGTATTTCCTGTAAACTTGGGAGTTTTCCGGTAAGTGGTGAGCTTGTAACTAGAATGCTTAAGCTATCAGATTTTAGAAGATGACTTTCCCTTAGCCGGAAAAACAAAGGATATTCTTTGTCCTGAGATTAATTAAAGAAATTCGAGTAACATAATTTGCTATAACCATTATAAGCTAAATACTTTGTACATGATAAAGCTGACCTCGAAAGCTCACACCTTTTGATATACCTGGAGAAAGATATACGAGATATAAAATTAAACGCTACTTAAGTACATTGACACTTAATAGCTTATAAATGCTAGCTTTTGCGCTCAAAGCTTCCAGGAAAATAAAAAAAGTTGACCACAATTATGAAACAAATTACAATTTTTTGCTCTGAGCTTTCACAGCTTTGAAGAGCTTTTACAGTTTTCAAAAGCTCTTGAAACTTCAATGATATTTTACAGCTTTGAAGAGCGCTCGCAGATTTTAGGAGCTTTTAGGGTTTTGTAGAGCTTTTATAATATTGTAGAGCTTTCACAATACGGCAAAGCTTTCACTTTAAACAGTTGTATTAAAAAAGACAAACTTATAAAAAAGCGAAAAAACGTTCAGATCTTTAAAATCAATATATACCGAGAATTTTGAGCAAATATTCATAAAGGTTAAAACGTCATAACTTAAAGTTAACTTAAATCAAATTTAAATTTTTAAATAAAAAGAAATTAAAAGCATTCTTACAGCAGCATTTCCATAGTCCACGCCAAGAGCAGAGCTGGTTGAACTTACCTAAAAAGAAAGAAGAACAAAAAAAATCGATATTAAATTTTCGTATAAAATTTTCCATGCACTGCAATGTGCCATAACAATAAAATAGGGGCATATGTCTAAAGATAACGGTAACTTATACTTAATATTACGCTTCATTAAATCGTTTATAGAAATTGGACGTTAGAACAGCAGAGAGGCCACAACTCACATAACCTGATTTTGAAGTAGCAAAAAAGGTGATGAAGCAAAGAAGGAATAACGGCAAATGAGGGTTAACGATTATGCAAATTAGATTTGCTTTATTTCAAGCCTACTTAAAAATCCATTAAAAATTTGCATAAATCTAAAAATTTGCAAAAAATAAAAAA